TTCGGGAAGGAGTTCACAGAAGCGGTGGAAGCCAAGCAGGTGGCTCAGCAGGAAGCAGAGAGGGCCGGATTCGTGGTGGAAAAGGCTGAGCAGCAGAAAAAGGCGGCAATCATTTCTGCTGAGGGCGACTCCAAGGCAGCTGAGCTGATTGCCAACTCACTGGCCACCGCAGGGGACGGCCTGATCGAGCTGCGCAAGCTGGAAGCCGCGGAGGACATCGCGTACCAGCTGTCACGCTCTCGGAACATCACCTACCTGCCGGCGGGGCAGTCCGTGCTCCTCCAGCTGCCCCAGTGAGGGCCCACCCTACCTGCACCTCCACGGGCCAACTGGGCCACAGCCCCAGTGATTCTTGACACCGCCTTCCTTCTGCCCCCACCCCAGAAATCACTGTGAAATTTCATGATTGGCTTAAAGTGAAGGAAATAAAGGTAAAATCACTTCAAAAAAAAAAAAAGTATTCCGTGGCTTCCAGGGTCACAGAGTGGAGCCTTCCCCAGAGTCAGGAGCCTGCGTCCAGGGTCACTGCCCCCGCAGAGCTCAGAGCCCAGACCTCCCTGCCCACTCTCTTTGGGAGTGATGGCTCAGCAAAGACAAAAAGGCAGCGACCCACCGTGGACCAAAGCCCCGGAGCCAGGGCCTGTCCCCTGACAGTGGTCCTGCTATAGCAGGTCCCCCACGAGGTAGGATAAGACACCTCTGTGTAAAACACACGCCCACACACTCCCGCGATGTCGGGGCAAAAACAATCTGTCCGCTCTTCCTGAAGTGCTGATTGGTGATACTATATTCAAAGGCCTTTAAAAAGCGAATCCTCGGTGATGTTACAATTGGTCCCCTGGGAATACCCCTGGGAATTATCCGAGATACACCACGAAGACGTTCATAGCAGCAGGTTTGTAAATCACCTCAACAGCCAACCATCAAGAGTGAGGTAAAGAAGTTACATATGGGATCATCCAAACAATGGATTCTTCTGCAGCCATTAAAGTGTGACCTAGAAACATTGATGAGGAGGTGAGTTGTTTGCTGCATGTTAGTGAAAGTGCAGAGCGTAAAACGTGACGTTCGACCACAATGATTTTAAGTATGTGTTAGGAACAGACAAGAAAGGCTGAACGAAGATACGCCTAGATGTCAGCTGTGTTTCTCTGAGTTGGGGTTCTATCTGTTGTGTCCTCAGGGGTGCTTTCCCATGTTTGCAAATTTGCTGACGATGAATATGTATCACTCATGTTTGCAAAGGGAGTCAGTTGTGTGTGTGTGTCTCAATGGCACAGAAATAAAACCGCAAGTTAAAGATTCACAGTGACTCAGTGCTTCCACAAAGCAAGTTTCTCTCTCCCAGCTTGGAAATTATGATGGAAAATGCCAGATGTGTGAAGCCTGGCTTGAGCCCTGTTTGTCCAGAGCTGGGCTCCCCAGAAGGGCCATCCCCAACCACCTGGGCAGGGTCATCCAGGAGGAGCTGGTTATGTGTGCAGGCCTTGTTCCATGCAAGATGCTTGGGACCAGAATCTCAGAAATATCTTTCCTTTTCCCCCCCAGAAATGTCTTTGTGTGTTTGTCATGAAATATACATACCAAAATTTGTCTTTTCAGCGCATTAAGTACATTCACATTGCTGGGCAACCATCACCCTGGTCCGTCTCCACACCTTCCTCATTCCAAACTGAAACTCCATAGCTATTACATAATAACCCGGGGCCAGGCATGGTGGCTCACACCTGTAATCCCAGCACTTTGGGAGGCTGAGGTGGGCGGATCACGAGGTCAGGAGATTGAGATCATCCTGGCCAACATGGTAAAACCCTGTCTCTGCTAAAAATATAAAAAATTAGCTGGGCGTGGTGGTGCACACTTGTAGTCCTAGGTACTCAGGAGGCTGAGGCAGGAGAATCCCTTGAACCTGGGAGGCAGAGGTTGCGGTAAGCCAAGATCAAACCACTGCACTCCAGCCTGGGCGGCAGAGTGAAACTCTGTTTCAAAAAAATATGTAATAATAATAGTAATAACAACTCAGTCTCAGCTCTACCTAGTGCCCTGTAAGCACTGGTTTACTTTCTAACTCGATGAATTTCACTACTCGAGGGACTTCGGACAGGTGGACGCATACACTATGTGCCTTTTCGTGTCTGGCTGACTTCACTCAGCACCATGTTTCCAAGGTTCATCCCCGTCTTAACATATGTCAGAACTTCATTCCTTTTGAAAGCTGAATAGTACTCCATTGCACATCTATATAAGCTGCCTTTTCCTTCCCATCCATCTACCCGTGGACATTGGGGCTGTTTCCACCTTCTGTGCATCATGCATAACTCTGCTGCTTTTTGTAGCAAAAGTGTGCAAATATTTGTTAGCGTTCCTGTCGTCAATTCTGGGGGGTCTATAGTTAGGAGTGGAATTGCTGGGTCCTGTAGTAGCTCTGTGTCTGCATTTCTGAGGAACCCTCATACGGTTTTCCACAGCAGCTGCACCATTTTACATTCCCACTAGCAATGCTAACATTCCCACCAAGAAGGCTAGTTTTTACATTTTTTATAAAGACGAATTCTCACTCTGTTGCCCAGGCTGGTCTCCAGCTTGTTTTTGTTTGTTTGTTTTGAGATGGATTCTCACTCTGTGGACAGGCTGGAGTGCAGTGGCAGGGTCTTGGCTTACCGCAACCTCTGACTCCCTGGTTCAAGCCATTCCCCTGCCTCAGCTTCCCGAGTAGCTGGGACTTGCCTCAAACTCCTGAGTAACTGGGATTACAGGCATGCGCAACCACGCCCAACTAAGTTTTGTATTTTTAGCAGAGACAGGATTTCGCCATGTTGACCAGGATGTTGAAATCCCATTTCAACATAGTAAAATCCCGTCTCTACTAAAAATACTAAACATTTTTGTATTTTTAGTGGAATCGGGATTTCACCATGTTGGCCAGAATGACATCGTGGTCCACCTACCTTGGCCTCCCAAAGCGCTGCGAGTACAGGCATGAGCCACTGTGCCCGGGATTTTTTTTTTTTTTTTTTTTTTTTGAGACAGAGTTTTGCTCTTGTTTTCCAGGCTGGAGTGCAATGGCTCAATCTCGCCTCACTGCAACCTCTGCCTCCCGGGTTTAAGCCATTCTCCTGCCATAGCCTCCCAAGTAGTTGGGATTACAGGTGACCGCCACCATGCCCGGCTAATTTTTGTTTCACCGTGTTGGCCAGGCTGGTCTCAAACTCCTAACTTCAGGTGATCCACCTGCCTCTTCCTTGGTCTTGAGCTCTTGAGCTCAATCAATTCCCCTGCCTTGGCTTCCTAAAAGTGTTGGAACAACAGGGGTGAACCACCACGCCCAGCCAGGAGTTCTTTATATATTCTGCAAATGAGAGATCTTTTTTGTATATAGAGTACTCGAGTTTAAACCAATTGTTAAAATACTGATTGATTACTTTTTAAATTTGGAAAACATAAAGATAAAAAGGGACATACAAGAAGCATTCGTGTTTATATGCTTTGACTCAGCATTTCCACATCTAGGAACTAGACATGCATAAAGATTTAGCTGAAAGAATGCTTATCATAAAAGAAAGAAGGAAGAGATGGAATTGGAAACAACATCAATATCCAATAATCTCATATGGGTTAAATAAAATACAGCCCCACTGTGTATGATCACAAACACTGTGGATGAACAGTAAATGATGTGTGACATTTAGAATATAGCCATGGTTAAAAAGACAAAGTTGTAAAGTAGTATTTACAGCATAATCCATTATTTGTCTGAACAAATGCATAATTGTGTAAAAGGAAAGAAAGAACGTCAACTGTTAACAATGGTGATCTCGTGTGAGGGAATCTCAGGCTACTTTTTTTCTTTGTAATTTTTTCCAATTTTCCAAATTCCATGCAGTAAACGTGTGGTCTTGCAATTAGAAAAAAAAAAAAAATGTTATTTTTAAAGGTAGCCGCAAGCGTGTATACAAGGTTATCCTGATTACGTAAAAATCCGTATAGTTAGATAAAAAGATACTCCAGACCAGTATTTTGCTTGATGACTCGGAAAGGCTTCTCCTTTTCTTACTTTGTACTCGCCTAGGTTTTACAAATTTTCCACTGTCTGGTTGTTTTATCTGGTTTAGGGAGGGGAGAACGAACAGCAAAAGTTGTTTAATTTTAAAGCGGAGACCTAATTTGCGCGAAAGCTCGGAATCGGCCCCACCGCCCGCCACGCAGGCCCCGCCCAGGCCCAGGCCCCGCCCCCGCCCAGCCAGGCCCCGCCCCACAGCCACCGCCCTCCGAGTCTTCCCCTGAGCTTCCTGAGAGGGCCAAACAGAGGCCCCGCCTAGGCCCCGCCCACTCGACTGCGACGGAACGTCCGCACAGCCCTCGTCCTAGGACCTGAGACGGCCACCCAGAGGCCCCGCCCCCTGATGTAGAGACCCGGCCCCCAGACTTTGCCCCGCCTCCTCAGCTGCGGCGCTACGTCCGCACGGCCCGTCGCACTCTCGCTTGGGCTTCCGGAACGGGCCGCGCAGAGGCCCCGCCCCCCGGCCGCCTCAGGCCCCGCCCTTTTGGCTACGGCGCTGCGTCCGCGCCGCGCGTCGCGTCCTCGTTCCGGCTTCCGGGGCGGGACGGAAGAGCGGGGGTGGGGGCCCGGCCAGTCCAAGGCGCCGCGGCTTCCGCCCGGGAGGGGCGCTGGTGCCAGACGAGGTCGAGCGCGCTTCCTGCGATGGTTTTTTGCTGTCCCCGCCCGCCCCCAGGTGCGCGGGACGCAGAGGCAGGACAGCCGGGAGGCGGAGATGAAAGGGGCCGGTGGCGGGGCCCCGGGGGCGCGCGTGCCAGGCCCTGCGGCAGCCCCCGAGGGGCCAGAGGTGCGGAGCCTATGCACTGGGCCGGGGGCCAGCCTGCCTGTCGGCCTGCGCGGAACGCACCGCCCGGGCAGAAAAGTGACATCAGAACCCTAGGCTCCGTTGTCAACCAGGGTTACTGATGTCACGACTCTGCACTGGGAGGAAGGTGTGGCCCAGTGAGGCGTCCTCCGGTCCTAGTCAGGGTCTGCCCTGGGTGGGAGGGATTGCGGGACCCCTCTCCGCTGGCTGTGACAGCCTAAGCTGATGAGCTGTTTCTAGCCAGAACGCCCCTTCGGTGAAGACTGAAGCCCCGACATGCATGGCAATGGCAGCTGCCGTGTATTGGAAAGCACGAGCCAGGCCATCCTGGACTTAACACGTAAACGTGTTATCTCAGTACTCCTGGCAGCTGTATCAACGTGCTGGTCTCACATGCCACCCCCTTTCAGAGGTGAGGGACCGAGGTCAGAGACGCAGCTTGCCGGAGGCCCTGGAGGGCAAGGGGGCACAGCCTAGATTTGGACCTAGATCCCCGATTCTCAGTCTCAGCAGTTAGCCTGTGTGCTGACCCGGCATCCTGTGATAAGAATTTCCCTTCATAGGTGTAGCTGGCTGCCAGCTCTGTTGATTACCTTAGCTCACTGCTGCCTCATCTCCAGCCGGAAGATCCGCGTACCCAGAGCTAAGCCCCTCTCCCAACTCTCAAGCTGCTCAGCATCCCTGAGCTTGACCCAAGTTGCCTGAAGATCCCCACCTACCTGTTACCCCAGATCTCCGAATACTGGCTGCCTCCCTTTGCTTGAGATGGGAAAGGATGCCCTCTGCCCAGCATCTGAAGAAAGGGCATGAAGTAGGTGAGCCCTGGATGGCCCATGTGTGGCACCAAGCCTGCCGGGCCTGTGGTGCCAAGGCTACAAGGGCATGGCAGCACACCCCCAGTGTGCCCACACACAGTGGCAAGCCAGCCCCCAGGACACAGGCTGCCTCTCCCATCTGTACCCCATCCGTCCTGGCAATGCGGAGGGGCAGTCTGGCTTTTTCCTTGGCTTTCGAGGTTAGTATATGCTGGATGTTGGCAGCAGACAGGACACCCCACCACAATGAGCCACAGCAATCCAGACTTTCTAGCCTCCAAGTGTAGCTCAGAGCGGAAGCTCCACATTTGATTTTTTTTTTTTTTGGCTCCATATTAAAGAACAAAGCATAGGAACTGGACAGGCCCCTCTGTAAACAGAAAACACATGTTTTCTGAGAGAATGGGCCCTTCCTTTCCTTGTTTCATCTCCCATGGACAGAGGCCTCCTTAGGCCCGCTGACTTCAAGACCAGGGAGGCTGTGGACCAAGGGTTGAGCGGAGCTGATTCTTCTTTGCCCAACTCGGGCTGACACTCACCTTCTTGAAAGGGGGCAAGGACAAGTGTTAGGGGTCTGCTCAGCAGTGGGGTGTGGTCTGAGGAGGGAGGCTCCTCAGGGACCTGAACAGGAAGTGGGGGCCCTGGACCATTTGTCTCTTCCGAGCACACAAGAATTGTTTAGGGTTCTACCGGAGCTGAGATGAACATGTGTTCTTGGAGCCTGCTAGCCACAACTGGGAAGACACCTCTAACTCAGAAGAGAAGCCTGATGTCTGCAAAGAACGGGCATTCTGGGACTGAGTACCCACTGCTGTGTGGCCTTGGGCAAGTTTCTTAACCTCTCTGGGCCTCATGTTTCTCGTCTGTAAAAGTGGGATAACAATAGTTGTTTAGGATTAAATGAGATCATGGGAATAGCCCCAACAGACATATAATTAGAAGCTAATTAATAAGTGAGCAAAATCAAACATTGTCTCAGTTTCAATGCTGAGCTATTGCAGAGTGGCCCAAGAATCGCCTACAGACACGTAGGATCCCTGTACTCCAAGGAGCACCTCCTTTCCCCTGGCCTTCTGTTGGGCACAGCCACTCACAGGCTGGCTGTGACACCTCTTTGGAAGCAGCCATTTTGGGGACAGATCATTCCTTTGATTCCTCCCAGCAGCCTGAACTTTGTCCTGTAGGGGAGATTTGATTTTGGGAAATAATCAGACATCCTTTAAAACAAGTCTGTTGAATGGATGCTCAGAAGCCAAGCCAGGGCCTCGTGTCCAGGGCCAGCTTGTGCCACGACTGTAAAGTCAGTAGCCACGGACTCATGCTCCGAAGGCAGTATAGAGCCACCAATGGATCATTGCCACTGGTGTTGGTGTGTGTGTGTGTATGTGTCTGAAAACAGAGATATTCACACACACCCATGAGCTCGGTGGAGGGACCAAACCAAAGCCTGCGCAGTTAACACGAGGCTGCCTTTCATCTCTCAGCCCACAACTTGATTTTCATGGAAATATCTCTGCGTGGGAAAATTACAAGCATTTCTGATCCAGGCAAGTGTGAGTACGGCGCCATGCTCTCCTGGCATACTGGGGTTTAGAGTGGGTCCCCCAGCCCGTTCCTCACCAGCTGTGTGGCCACTGGCCCCTTTCTTCATCCCCTAGCCCTTGGTTTCCCCATCTCAGGTCCTCCACGGAGGAAACACACAGGCCATGCCCACATGCGTGGGCATTTACAGCATGTGCTGGTGACATTGCTCATTAAAACACTGTAAAAATTAATTGGCATTCGCAAAGTTCTAGTCACAATAGCAAACATTTTTTTAAATCAGAAACAGGCCAGGCACAGTAGCTCATGCCTGTAATCCCAGCACTTGGGAGGCCAAGGTGAATCACTTGAGCCTGGGAGACAGAGGTTGCAGTTAGCCAAGATTGTGCCACTGGACTCCAGCTTGGGCGACAGTGAGACCGTGCCTCAAAAAAAAAAAAAAAAAAAAAAATAAAATAACCAAAAAAAAAAAAAAAAAAAAAAAAAAAAAAAAAAAAAAAAAAAAAATAAAAAAAAAAAAAAAAAAAAAAAATTCAATTATCCGTCAGTAGATAAATAGGTAAATATCAATAGGCATATGATAAAATATTACAATGCAGTAAAAAGGAATGAGCTCTTAATAGACTCAACAAGGTAGACACATGTCAGGATCCCAAGCAAGAGTTCATACTCCATGAGTTTTAATGTTTTTTTCAAATAAATTAAAAGTGATCTACAGTGAGTCAGGTTAGTGGCTGCCAGGGAGTCCAGAGGCTGCCTGCAACGGCCCTAGGGAACCTTGTGGTGATCGCTGTTTTCTTTCTTGATCGTGGCGGTTATACGTATCACTCGTGCATACATTTGTCAAAACTCATTGAACGGTAGGGGTGAAAGGGATTTTGCTGCATGGAACTTTTACCTCAATAAGGCTGGTTTCAAAAATTAACTGGTATTTATATTTTATTTTTCAAATATTGTAGAGAATAATAATGACATAAAATGCTCACAAATTATTCAACACAAAGTGTAAAATAACGTACAGTATGATATGATTATATAGATGTATATATGTTTGCATTTATAACTTACGGGCCATTCACATAGGTATGAACACAACTATGCAGGCGCACATACACACATACAGGTTGGAAAATATCGCAGGACTTCCACCAAATGCGCTCAGTAATTACCTCATGGGAAATTGGTTTCTTTTAATTTTTTTAATTCTAAATACGTTTATCCTCTTAGTAGTTTTTTTTTTTTTTTTTTTACTTTTCTGTAATGAACACTTTTTTTTGTTTAGAAGAGGAGTCTTTTTTGCTTGCTATATTCTTATTAATTTTATTGTTAATTGACTAATAATTGTATATACTTATGAGGTTATGTTATATACATAACACTTTTTATAAACAAAAACAAACATATCTCTTTATTTTCAGCTGTAGCAGGCCACAGACATGGGGCTGGGCTCCAGGGTAGGGTGTTGCGGACATCCCCGTTCCCACAAAAGGCAACCGCCTGGCAAGGCTGGAGCAGATGGAGAGGGAGTGAGGGGGTGCGGCTCGCTCCCCAAGTTCTTTGGCTCAGCTTCAGTGCTGGGTCATTCTTAGGGACTGCTATGCCCACTGGGCACTGCAGAACTTCTGGTGCTCATGGCGAAGGGCAGCCGGGAGGAGCCCTGTACCCGGGCCAGACCTTCCAGTTTGGAGTACTGGGACCCAGTGGCCCCATGCACCTTTCCTGAAGCTTCTGGGCCCCAAGTGGTTGAATGCAGTGTGGGCTGGGGAGTCACGGACCGTGCCTCCTGCATGCGTCCTCCATTCCAGGTTCCTGTGTGTTCCGTGGGCCCATCCACCTGTCTGGGCTTGGCTAGGCTGTGACCTTCTCTGAGGACAGGGCCCTGCCTGCATTTGGAGCTGCTGGGACCTCAGTGTCACCCCCCACTCTCGCCAGCTGGCCTCACAAAGGTGCCCAGGAGGAGACCTGATTGCTGGCTCCTTTCCCCTCCCTGGCTGAGCAGATTCTACGACAGCCTGTGGAAGTTAAAATAAGAGCCTAAAACTGTCAAAAAAAAAATTTTTTTAAACCAAGTCACAAATGGGAAAGCTGAGGCAGCAGCAGGTTAAGGACACTTTGTGATGTAGTGTTCTCTCCCAGTGCCTTCGTACCGTAAACATCACAGTCCACGGTCCCTGCACACAGGCAGCCACAGAGACTGGGTTTAGACTTGCTGGTGAAGGCTGTGTTGGAAGTATGGCGAGTACAGAACTATTCCACCACATGAGGGGTCATTAGCTCTGCTCAGTTCTGTGAGGCCTCACTAGTGTTTCCATTTAAAAATAAGTCCAGGTAAAAGAAAAAGTTTTTAAAATGTAACAGTTGTGTATCTGTTTCTCTAATTGTAAAGAAATACACTGTCATGTGCTGGGCTGGAGGCTCTGGAGCAGCAGGCCTAGGAGGGAATGTTTTCTTTCCTTTTTTTTTTTTTTTTTTTTTTTTGAATTCTTTAAACTTTTTTTAACAGTGTGTATTGTTTCTATAATGGGAAGAAGTAAAATATACGTACATTGAAAGTAATCAAACTGTACCTGAGCCTACATGTCAAATGATAAATGTGACAATCAAGAGCACTATTTATTGAATTCTTGGTTTGTACCACATGTCCAGCTAGGCGCTTCCGCTGGTTCCTCAGAACACCCTGCAGGTGGGAGCCAGCACCAGGGTCCCTGAGGCAGCACACAGCATCCCCGCGCAGAGCCAGGGAAGGACAGGGATTGTACTGTGCTCATAACGACTTCCTGCCTTGGTTTTTAAGACAAGGTCTTTCACTGTGACCTCAACCTCCCAAGCTTGAGCAATCCTCCCACCTCAGCGTCTGGAGGAGCTGGGAGTTCCAGGTGTACACCACCGTGCCTGGCTAATTTTTGTATCTTTTGCAGAGACAAGCTTTCACTGTGTTGACCAGGCTGGTCTGGAATTCCTGGGCTCAAGCAATCCACCAGCCTCGGCCTCCCAAAGTGCTGGGATTACAGGTGTGAGCCACAATGCCAGGTCCCTGGCTCTTAAAGGTGAACATTTTCCCTGAATACAATGATCTTCAGTTAAAATATCTGTATCTTATTTACGTAGATTCTGAAATTATTTCTGTAAACAGAATGTGGTGAAAGAAATGATAAAATCATAGATTTTTACCTTTTTACCTATGACACAGTTGGCCAACAGCCAAAGTCAGGATCAGTGATGTAACTCGGCACCTGGAACAAAATGAAAATGTGGGTTCCCTTGATCAAGAATGACTAAGAATTTTAAGATCAGGGACGGCCAAGCATTGAGTGTGGGGCCCTTCTGCACACGGGGCCCTCTGCCATTGGGTAGGCCACGTGCCCACAAAGCCCTGGTATGATAGAACTAGGTTGACAGCTTCCTTTGGGACATACTCTAATCACCAGTGACCACTAGTCAGAAAAGAAATGAGCTCAGCCTTCAGGAAGATGAGCCATTCCCAGTGCATTTTCCAATTCTAAAAACAGTGGTCGCAGCTCAGGAATGGAGTTCCCAGTGAGGACGCAGTGGGAGACAGTCAGGCTTCCCTTCCCAGGAAAGAGCCAGGGCCTGCATAGAAGCTTTCATTAAGAACCAGGAGGCTGCAGATTCTCTTGAAATGTCAGCACGTTGGGAGGCTGAGGCAGGAGAATCGCTTGAACCCGGGAGGTGAAGGTTGCAATGAGCCAAGATCGCACCACTGCCCTCAGCTAGGCAACAGAGCGAGACTCTGTCTCAAAAAAAAAAAAAATGAACAAGAAAAAGAAATGTCCACACGTGGCCCACACCCTGATGGAGCTTCAGTCACACTGCCGTGGAGCGGGCAAGGCTGACCCTCGGCCTTGGGGAGATTTCATGACCACTGATGCCAAGGCTTGTTACTGTGAAAATACCGTAAGAAACTTCAGTTACAACTGCTATGTACCCACAAACATTTTGAAAAAGATTTAGTATGAAAACGTAAAGTTATCTCACTAATCTTTATCTTGATCATATTGAACTGATCATATTTTGGATATATTGGTTTAAATAAAATATATTATTAAAAATTTTTCCCCTCACCCCCTTCTAAAATTTTTTTTAAAAGAAAAGGAAAGCGTCATCCCACTGCCTGTGGAAAAGGATCTTGGGGTTCTTCGGCAGGTAAATTTCCCCTGGTCCCCTGTGGATGCTGGAAATGAACCTTCTGCTGACAATCATCTGCAGCTCCTAAAACAAGGGCTCCCACTATTCCAGCCAGCACCCCACCAGCCCACCTCCACCATCTCTATGTCCTCATCCCCACGTCAGGCTCTGGAAGGTCCCGGGGCGGGGCGGGGGGGGGGGGCAGTACCCTCAGGGGCTCTTGGGGCTGAGGCCTCTTCCATGAATCACATGTGGAAGCCCAGGACCAACCTCAGAGAGGATCACGTCTGAGAAGTTTGAGGGGAGAATATCCACTTAAGAGAGAGCTTCTCCACCCCTTCGGGGCACCACACACATTTGTGGGACAAAAGACAAACATTCTTCCCACCCCAGTCCCCAAGCAGGCTCCCATAGCCCATTGTTCATTTTTCTTTAAAAAAGAAGAAAAAAAATCCCCATTCTCCTCAGCCTGCAATGGCGCTCTGGAGGATCTGGGCTGGTCTCGAGTGTCTTCTCCATAAACACCTCTGGTGAGGAAGGGCGGACAAACGGAGGCCTCGGGCCCAGCTGGCAGCCGGAAGCTCTGTGCCTCCCAGCACCTGCAGGGCCCTTGCAGTCTCAACGGATGATGCTTGGCCACTTTTGCAGATTCCTAGACCTGGGGGCCACTCAGTTGCCTCCCCCAGCCCAGGTGTGTCCTCAGAACCCTGGCCTGGGAGGGTTTGAAGCCAGGGAGGGAGAAGAGGGTAGAAAACAGTGGTGCCAGGGAGCTGGGCTGTGGGAGCCGGGTGAGGCCAGCGAATCATCCCCGAAGGTGGAGAACTAGCTGCGGGCTGAAGGCAGGGTAGGTCTGGGCCCAGGACCCAGCATGGAACCCCTTCTCCTGGAGCACGAGGGGGTCACAAGAGTCCCTCCTCTCTGGGGATCATGGGTGACCGACCGCCGGATGCTTCGGGAGGAGACAAAGACGGCGTGTTCCTCCAAGCCCCTGCCTGCTACTCCCTCACTGGGGACATGGGCTGCGTGCCAACAGCCTTTTAGGAAGCATCTCGTGCCTACCCTCGCCACCCTGCAAAAAAACCTTTCTCCTAAACACTTGGCAGTGGGCTTAAAACACTCAGGTGCCGAGGACTCGCGCAGAGATGAGCCCAGCGCGCTGGCTGGCGGAAGCCCCAGCAGGACTGGGGCGTGGGACCTGCTTGTTTACCTCTCAAGAAAAAAACACAACGAAAAAAGCGCCTGGGTAGAATTGGAAGTTCTGGGGCTCTCTGCGCCGCGGCCTCCGCGCGGCTCCCTTCCTCCCCTCCCCGGCCTGATTTTCCTCCTTCTTTCCCTCTTTGTTGCCAACCTCAGAGCCGCGGCTGAAACCCAGCCCAGAGTCCGCGGAGCCCGGAAACTTCCAGCTCCGCCACTGTGCAGAAAGTTGGGGGGCGCGGCCGGGGTGACAGCAGCGCCTCGGGGGCGGCCACAGCGGCCACCCAGGACCTCGGCCTCCCGCGCCTCCCGCTGCCCCGGCCGCACCCGGGGACCTCGGGCAGCCCGCGGGCCGGACGTGAACTTGACCCAGCGCTGCGCCCGCCTGGACCGCGCTCGGCGCTCTCGGGACGATCTGGTAAGGCTGCCCCTCCCGCCCTCGCCCGGCGGCGCTGGGGTCCGGGTCGGGGTCCGAGCTCGACCACGAGGGCGTGCCCCGGGGTGGCGGGCGCCAGGGCGCCTCGGCCACTGCACCGGAGCGCACGGCTGAGCCCGCGGCCCGGTCTGGCGAAGTCAGTCAGCCCCCGGCCTCCCAAACAAAGACTCGGAAAGTTCGGAAGGGACTCTTTCCCGACATTTTCCCTCCCCTCGGGCTCAGGGCTGAGGCCATCAGGGCTCTTAAAAGGGAAAGGAGAGCTCTCTGGTTTTCTCCTGGGCTTTGCTCCCCACCTTTGGCTGGAGAGAAGGAGGAGGGGCCTTGGATGACCCTCTGAGGCCAGGCTGCCCAGGGGCAGCACAGGAGGTGAGGACCTGTGGGATGAGGGACCCCCTACAGCACAGGGAGGCTGGCCCCTGGCCGCTGCAATGCTCGCTTCTTGGGGCTCAAGTGGAAGCTGCTCCTGATCCCCCCCAGGCACCATCCTGAGTGGCTTCCCATGGTTGTCCTGGGTGACTCTCCTGAGCAAGACCCCCTTGCCACTAATTGCCCTGTCGGCTCTGCTTGGGGCAGCCACAGTGCCAAGTGAGGCTGGCCGGTGCTGGGGCACAGGACAGCCATGGACAGGACCCAGGGAGGAGGAGAAGCTGGAACCCTGCAGGGCCTGTGCCTTGGGGAGCAGGTGGGGGACCCTCTGCCTCCCCCATTCCTGCCTGCAACAGGCTGGGCCCACACCTCCAGCCAGCTTCTCTGTATGCCCCTCTCTCTGCCTGAGACAAGGCCTCTGTCCCTGTGAGTGGTCTGATCCGGGCACTCACGGGGTAGAAACCTACCCTACCCATGGGCGGTGGCAAAGCCCTGGGAACTCCCAGAGGTGTCCTGGGCCTGGGCCTCCACAAGCCTCCCAGTTTGATCAGGTGCTCCCAACCACAGCAGGGACCTCGTGTCAGGTCTTGATCCCAGCGGTGGCCAGGTCCCCAGCATTCAAGAGACCATTGCTAACTTGCCTCCATCCCCGGGGAGCACCCAAGCCGAGAAGGCTGGGCGGCCAGAGTCTGAGGGGTCACCCCATCATGTCCCTGGACTCTACGGCAGGGCTGTCACAGGGCAGCCTCCAGGCATGATTTGGGGCACAGAGGGAGTCTGCAGTGATGGCAGGGGAAGAAGCCCAGAGTGCCCAGTGGGTCTAGCCTGTTGCTGCCATGAGGGTAAGGGCTGGGACCGTCAGAGCTTCTGACTTCAGAAGAAATCCACATTTGTACATGAAATGTCCAAAATTTGAACACATTACAGGACAGAGGAAACACTCTCAGGCTGAACCCAACCAATGCCCCCCCAAACCCCGAGGTTGCAACCCCTGTGTACACATGAACTGGCTAGTGTTCAAAGGAAGGCAGATTTCTTAGTGACCCTGGCCCCAGCCCAAGATTTGAGCAGGAGGCCCTGTGGATCTGGGGAGCAGGGAGGGAAGAGAGTTTGTATGTCATGAACCCAGCACCACAGGGAAGGTCAGCCTCCACAGGCATGAGCTGTCCAGGTAACTAACACTTGGTTGAGCCCATCTGAAGTTAAATATCTCCCTAAAATGAGGAACCTGACCTGCCCCATCCCCAAACCCTCTGGGGGAGTTTCTATGCCCATTCATTCGGGGAATAATAAAGGAAAGACAGGATGCAGAAAGTGAACCTGAACTTGAACTTTCATGTCCCAGGTGATAAAGCGCAGGACACCGACAGCCTGGGCTTCTAGGGCAGTTCTGCACTGAGGCAGGCCTGCCTTCACCTGCCAGCTACCTCATTCTAGCTGGGTAGCCTCACATCTCTGGGTCTCAGTTTCCTCACTCATAAAAGGGGCTTAATAAGACTTCTGCTGGCCAGGCATGATGGCTCATGCCTATAATCCCAGCACTTTGGGAGGCTGAGGTGGACAGATCACGAGGCCAGAAGTTCGAGACCAGCCTGGCCAACATGGTGAAACCCCGCCTCTACTAAAAATACAAAAATCAACCAGGTGTGGTGGCGCACACCTGTAGTCCCAGCTACTCAGGAAGCTGAGGCATAAGAATTGCTTGAACCTGGGAGGCAGAGGTTGCAGTGAGCTGACATCACGCCATTGCACTCCAGCCTGGGTGACAGAGCAAGACTACGTCTCAAAAA